TCCCACTGCTTTGTTAATCAACACATTCTTATGCCAAATGCCTCAATTTTTAAAAACTGTGTATAGTTGAGATGACCTTCTTCTTTTTAAAAGATCTTATTAAAAAAAAACCTTCCCAAATTGAACTGCATGAAGCTTAATAATGCTGGCCTGGTGTCTGTTATGCAAGGACCATAGATAGTTCCAACACACAGCTCATACTCTTTATTAAACTAGTTGTAGGGGATGGCTTAGAAAACTATAATGTTTGCTGCTTTAAAATCCAAAAAGAACGACTGGATTACATAACCACAAAGGAAGGTTCTTCTTAAGGCTGTGAACCAACAGTGCAGCTTTTTAGCCAGACACTTCCCAACACCACTAAAGTTAAAATATACTAATTCTAATGTATCAGTGTTACTTCCCTCCTTCAGTAGTTCAGTTTATACCACAGCACATTGCCCAGTGGGGGTGAAGCCCATCTAGCGAGCAAAGAACAGCTGAGGTTTTGCTTCGTCAAACTAACAGTCTTAAGCTGACTTGTCCCTCCAGAGTTCCCGGGATGCTCTTCTCTGCTAGGTGACACTCCTCCAAGTGTGCTGGATACCCTAATGGAATGTTTAATACCTAATCAGAGCAAGAGGTACTCCACAGAGTGCAAGATGACATTAATTTTTCTCCACCCCTTCCATTTGCTTTTTATTAAATAGGACATTAATGAGATCAAACATTAAGGAGATATTTAGTAAGTGATGACGAAGAGAAAAGTCAATTAGTCAAAAGGTAAAGGCCATTTCAAAGACTGTTACTAACCTGTAAGGCTGAGAATATTAAAAGCCATCCATGTCATATTGAAGTAGTTTATAAGAAAGGAATTAGCAGGACTACATGCATTTATATCACCTGTATCTGGGTGAGTAAGAGACACAAAAAGCTCCAGCCTAGATTTCAAACCATGACAGCCTATTATAGATTATTCTGTGTAGCTAGCCTTTTAGAAAAGAGGACTGCTCATATTTTTCAGCAATTGCTGGATTCTTAGTTATATAGCACCCTCATGTGTCCACAAAAGAGCTTCTCAATATAGACACATTTGCAGGTTTAATTTTGTAGGCATAATGAACCTTGCTATCCTTCTACAGATCCAACTTTTCCCATCCAGCCCTTAGCTTTGTTCAATAAGAATTCATAGCATTCTCTACCTGAAAAAAAACAAAGGACACTGCATATCAATGCCATTAGTAATAGCATAATCCTACATCACAGACTAAGATATACACAGTCAGTCGCTTCCCACAGATTCAGACTGTATAAAACAGCAAAATTCAAAACTGAAATTTGCATTTTTTAAACAAGTAAAATACTAGCAGCAGCTATAAGACAATCGTGTCAGAACATGCAGGCACACACACACACACCCCCCATGCCAATTCCTAATGCATTCACTTGTTTCACTGGGATTCCCAGATCAATTCTTCCTAGCATTTTGAAGAACATTCCTGTAAAGTTATCATGATGCCAGAGGACCAGGTGTCAGAAAGTAAAGCATTGCTAGAGTGCATACTGTCCTCATATAAGCTTATTCTGATAAGTATATCAAATGAAGCCAATTGTAAGTTTTTACTTACACATAAGGCAATCAAAAGTAATACTACACACACATTAGTGTGTGTGTAAGCACACACGTGTGCATGTAATATTATTTTTGATTGCCTTATGAGCAAGTAAAAACTTACAATTAGCTTTATAAACAAGAAAACAGTCTGTAAATTAGACCATGCACTTTAGTGTCTCTTGTGACTGGGAAGAGGAGAGTAAAGCCAAATGAGTAAAAGTCCTGAATTTGCTATGGAGCGTGTTACAATTATTCAGTGCATATGCACAGAGTAAAGTGTCTATAAACATTGTTGGGGGGTGGGGGGAGCTGTCATGGCCACAGTCACAGTCACTCCGGGCGGCAGGAGCGGGGCACAGCATCCAGGGAACCCCCCCAGCGCAAGTCATAGCCCAGGGCAGGCTAAATTGCACAATGAGGCTGTGCACCACTGATGAGCTGTTGCACTAGTGTACAGTACCTGCTTGATGCCTGTGAGCGTTATAACAAAACTTCCCCAGGCGCTAAGTGGAATCAGGTATGAATTTAAAATGCGCATTATAGCGAAATAGTGCCAAGCTAAACAGTGTTAAGCAGGGGTTGCTTATATATAATATATAAATATTATACACATGCATGCACTCTATATATTCAGTATTTTACGAAGTCACATCATAATGACTAATAATATATGGCTTTTCCATTTCTGATCCCTCTAGAATGAGAGTAAATACACTCTACACTAAGTCACTATGATGCAACTTGGTGAAATACTAAATTGAGCCAGAAAAGACGACTCTAGAGAACTCATGATCCCTTGTGCTCTCATTACATAGCAGTGAGTAGACATTGCCTCCACTTCGTAGATCCCAGGGAACAAGAGTGCTGCAGTTACAACAACATGATTTACTGTATTTTTTTACAAAGATTTTGATTTAACTTGAAAAATGTTATCAAGGGGAACACCTGATAAGAAAAGAGAAACAGGAAAAAGATGGTGCTTAATTGTATCTTCTATTAAAAGAACTTCAGAGATCTATTCTTATTGTATGCTCGTTGTAATGGCTCATGTCTGAACTGCTCCTACCATCTCCCAGAATCTCTGTAATAATTCTTGTTGGTGTGCATTGCTATGACTATAACTCATGAACTGAAAGACCTCTGTTGCTTAACTCTACCAACACACAATAATACCACTGTAACTCCACAATAATTTGATGTTGTTATTCTAGACCATTTTTTCTGCCATTTCTTTGCTGTCAAGGAGAGTGTACCAGAAGTTAGAGAGGGTTCTATCCATCTCATTTTGCTATACCTTGTCATGCTGTATCATTTTAAGGTAGGCAGATATCCCAGAATTTAATTCACCTGACACACCTGTTTCACTGGTTCTTTGCTTCAGTGCTGTAGTCACATGCTGGATTCTCTCGAATCTCCCCTCATCCCCCAGCATATTTATTTCCTAGCATCATCAATACCAGAAAAAGCTGGGGAAAATGTGCTAATCTCAGATTGTACAGTCCCATACTCAAAAGGAAATACAGCTGCCAGCATTACAACATTTTCCATTACCCTTCAACCTGACAGTGACAAATATAGAAGGTGTTTCTTGGAAGCCAAACCTTAGCCAAATATTTAACCATACTACATTCAGCTACATTTATTCTAAGCCTTATATTAATTGATTCAGAAAGCTGAAATCACTGAATAAAGGTCAGGTACAGTGAAAGCTACTAAAGCATTGCCTGTAAGTTATTTTGATATAAAAGCACGATACCCTATGTTTCACCATTTCAAGATAACTCAGTCTTTAAACGTACTGGTTTATGGCAGCAGTTGAGATTCTTATCCCAAGAACATGTGGCAAATCTTGAGGTGACTTAGCATTAAGTTACAGAAAAGAAGTTATCAGAATTACCTTACTTGGAATCAATATAATGCCCCAAAGATGAAGGCCCTGTAACCCATCTATTAACCTATTAGTAACTCTAAGGCTTCAGTCACATACAATATTCAAAGCAAAGAGACTTAAACAAAAGCAAGCACCTGCGTACCTTTGGTGCTGACCATTCAGGTATTACATTCATAGTAAGGATTCTCACATTCATTTTTGTCATCACGTTGGATAACAACCTCACACCTGTCAGCACATCAGTATCTCCCTCAGTTTTCCAGGAAGTAATACTGGGTCCAGAGGTGACCAACCCGAGATGATTTTCAATTAAAAATACTTTGATCTTCATCCTACGCATAGAATAATAATTCACAGGTCTTCCACCTGTTCCTAGTAGGCTGGAGGTCTAAGATAGGAAGGACCCAGAGATGTGTACGCTGCACCTACCTCCATAATACACTCCACTGGTAGAAAAGCAGTGAAGTTTATAAAAACAGCAAAATAAGTAGTCAGAATGCATTAGGAAATTACAGAAAAAATGAAGAACAAGGTGATGAAGATTCTCACATAGCACTGTATCTACGCAGCACTTATTCCCTTTCAGACAGTGACTGTCACTGAAGAGATTGTGTCAAAGACAGACACTTATCTATTAAAGAAAAGTAAAAGTGTGCATTTCCCCCAATATCTGACAAGAGAAAGACCCCTTTTTAATAGCTTGCTGTTAATAAAACCTCAGCAGTCTCTTGAATTGTTTAAGACTTCCAGAGCAATTATGAATAACTATATTTTAAAAGTCAATGAGTTAGAGGGAAGAGGCTCATAATCAATCATGCAGACTGCAATGTTAGCGGCTTCAATTCAACAGGACACCGCACCTACTTTGCTCTGTGCAGCATCAGAAACGTTCAAGCAGCGAGAAGAGATTTGTTCTTTGTTTAATCCAGGCTAAATAATTAGAAAGTAGGTTTTTAATTAAAATTGGCATTTGAGTTGCTTACTGACTGGGAGACTTGCTGCCAACTTCCGAAAGCGAAGATGGAAAGAAGAAAAAAATTTACTCATCAAATCTAGGGTTGCCAGTCTCTGCTGGACATAGTTAAGGTAATGCAGCACAGCAGAGCAGGGTAAGGAGAGAAAGCAGGTGACGTATTAGGGCAGACTTTCCCTTATGATTGTACTAAATCACAAAGACGACAGGATAGAAACTGTCTTTCTATCTTGTTTCGTTTCTGGGTCAACAAACAGGATACAGAGAACCATTTTAAATCACAAATCTTAAAGATCATTCATCAGTGTCTGCCCAAGGAAGAGTGCATGATAAACGACGTGTGTTAAAAGAAAGTTGAGGTACTAGCTAGAATTCATACTTAAGAGGCTGGTCTCTGCTATTAGCATTATCAAGGCTTCTTGATTCTCACCGCTCCAACCAGAAACGGAAAGGCAGGTTTCTGCATCAGGAAAACTTTCCTTCTTGGCCAGAGCATTCTCTCAGAGGGCTATGAGAGTTTATATTAGCTGCTCCTACTGTACCTTCAGGAGGCTCTTCCCGCAAATGAGGGGGCATTTCTTCATTGGTAGTGTCACTTTCATCTTCTACCATCTCTGTTTCTAAGTTGGGTCCCTGTAAAGAAAAAATGCAAAGAAGATTTAACTACAGAAGGAGGCAGATTAATTTGGTGAGGGTGCAAAGAAAGGTCAAAACACTAACTGAAAAGACTAAAGTTGCAACTTACAGCAGAAAGGCATAAGGAGTCCAACTAATTGATCTTACCAAAGAAGTGGTCAAAGGGTTACTTAATCATATTCATACCATATGAATATGGTAGAACCTGTGTAGGGAGTAAATAAGAGGACTCCTCAACCAAGAACACAAAAAGGTATAACAAATCCAATGGCTGAAGACTACAGTTAAACAAATAAAGACAAAAACAGACCTAAATTTTAACAAGGAGGGTGTGACAGCTGGAGCAAGTTACTAATCACCTCAGTATATTTTCCATAGAAAAAAATTTAATCACAATTAGGTATTTTCCTTAAGAATCTCTTCTAAATTCAAAATGGGAAGTACTTCTGGGAATTCCTATGGCTTGTTAGGATAGACTGAATTACCACAGTGGCCCTCTTGGCTTTATCAATGAAAAGAACAGTTCAAGTGACATGAAAGTACTGCCAGGGCAAGTATTAAAAAGCTAGTTGATACGTCAATATTCTAGTACTCACCACTAGCTATACACTTACAACAGATTCTTAAGCAGAACAGCTGCTTACCAGATTCTGTTCCATACCACTTGTTTCAAAATGTGCAAAGGGACTTTTTGACCTCTGTTCATCGTCTTACATCTGCTTACCTTAGCCTAATCTGACATTTAAAATGGTAAATGACTGATACTAAATAGCGTCTCCATAATAAGTTGTCATTTACCCTTTCAATTCTCAAAACAATAAAATCACTTTCTGATTCATGATTTCTTCTCACATACCTAAGCCTATTTTTTATTTGTGCTTCTGAAGCTGAAAGGACTGGACCAGACCGGACCCAAACCATAACCTTTTAAGTTGTGGGCAAGTGAACAAAAATTGTTTTTCCCTTTTCAGGAAAAATATTATTATACCAGTTCTTTTTTTTTGGAATGCTATTAGAGCAAAACAAATGAAATCTGGAGCTTAGCATAGGCAAAGGTCTTATTACAAAATAGGACTTTTGCTTATTCTAATAACAATAGGAATAGGTTTTACCATTTGAAAATGGTGCGTTGAACACAGCCTCTGTACACCTCCAGCTACAGATTTTGATCATAGATGTGGGGCTAGCAGACATAGCTTTTCATGCCCAATAAGCCTGCAAGGCACGTAAATGTTGAACAACAATGAATTCTTTAAATTGTAAAATTAAATACAAAAAAAGTGCTAATGAAATACAGCACAAGCATTAAGTTTGCTGTATTAACTTTTGGTGTTTCTAGATGTGCCTTTAAGGTTGACTTGACATTGTTGCCCATCATGCGTTTTTCCCCACATATAAGGAACAGCAAACTGATAGACAGTATGATTCTTGATCTTGTGGAAATCGCTTATGCTTTCAACTATTATCCTACCTGCTACTTCAAACAGACAGAGACAAAGAGACAACTGTATAGTACTGCATCATAAAGGATCTCATAGTAAAACCAGCAGCGTGTGCAACTCTGTCAAGTTAATAACATAGTTGTAACCTTGACTTCTGACTTTCATGACAATGTACAATTTTTTACTTACATTATTGCTTCAACATTGAATTAATCTCTCCTTACATTTATGGCAATTAGTAACAGCACTTTATATCTTCAAGTCAAAGTTCCACACAAACATTAAATAATCATTCTTCACAGTAACCAGAATTTATCCCAGATTACAGAAAAATCAAAGTGAGCCATGTAAGTAACCTGTCTCCAAACCCAGTAGTGCCTGGCTACTAGTCCAGTGAACTGACCATCCTTGTGTTCATCACAAAGATCTGGGTTGAACTGTTAGCAAGCAGATTCCTGATTTGGAGAGCTAGTTGAGTTAGTTTAACTACAACAGGTAGCTAAAAATCTATTCAACCCCACCACTCTCATTGCTAATTATCTTCCTCCACCCATCACATTAAAAGGTAAGGAATGGGCTTCCAGGGGACGTGGTGCTCTCCCCTACCTTGGGGGCCTTTAAGAGAAGGCTGGATAGGCATCTAGCTGGGGTCTTCTGACTCCAGCACTCTTTCCTGCCTAGGCAGGGGGTCAGGCTCGATGATCTGTTGAGGTCTCTTCTGACCCTACCATCTATGAATCTATGAAGGGAATGAACGGATCAGAGTGCATGTGCCCATCTCTAGAGCTTCAGATTAAATAGAATATATCTGAAGCTCTACACACAAGCCCAGTTAACAAGAAAAAAACAACAACCTTGCAAGACTAATATTTATATCAAAACCCTGTCAAAGGGCACAACTAAAGTGTTCTCCCATCCTACACCTCAACTTTTCTTCTGCCAGGAAAGCCTACGACAAAAGATGAATGTTTAAAACATGCCTTCAAGATCAACAGTTTTCACCAGCCCTTAATGCCTCAGCTGCTCTATTCCAACAGTGGTGCCCACTCTCAATACCCTGGTCATCTTCATTCACAACCATTTCCATCCCCAGGTCAGTAAGCCACCTCCCTCATCATTCCAACACCCTCCAAAATGCAGTAGCAGCTATAAAATTTTTAAGAAGGTGGTTCACTTAATCTTTCCAGTCTGATGTATATCTTAGAGGGAAAGGAAAGCCTATATTTGCATGTATAACACTAATTTTCAAATATAGCCATGAAATATATACCCATGAGTGCCATAAATAATACATTTTCTTCACTGTCTAGGTTTATTTCCCCAATGGGTTTAAACCCCTGTGAATTGAAGATATTCCTATGAAAATAACTTCAGCACTGGTGGGAAGAAATAATGGCACTTGCATATTTTAATTTGTCAGTTATGTAGTCGAGTCTCTCTGGGACATCAGCTGATCTGCACATATTTGACTTTGTTTGGAAAACCTAAGGAATAATCCTGTACCAGCTATTTGGTACCTGGTGACTGATATTGACTTGCAGAGATGTGGGCCCATATGCTCACTCTCGGGAGCACCTTTTCTCTCTCAGCCCAGCATGTTGCAAATCCACCTTTGTGAAATTAATAGCATAATATAAGAAAAACAGAAGGGATAGATCCAGACATGTAGGCAAGTGTGCTTTGTAGTGCTACAAACCTCTTTGCAACACCACAAATCACACACATTGCACTTTAAACTGTGCACGGCACTGCTGACTTGTAGAGCTGGGCCAAAACATGCTACTGGGATTTCCCAGTAACAAAAAACCCAAAAACAAACAAGCCAAAAAAACCCTCAAAGGCAGCGCAAAGCATGCCAAAGTGCTGTGCCCCAGGACAAATACAGAGATGGGGGAGTAGGCAGCTGGGCTGCCTGCTCCTCTGTCTCCATGGGCTGTGGTGCCCCTGCACTGAGGCACCTTGCATCCCAGCCAGCTGTTCTCTGGCTGGCTGGGGCACAGTGTGCTTCAAGATGGGAGCTCCACATTCCTCAGTGCAGGGGCTCTTCAGCAGAGTACCCACACAGAGGCATGCAGAGACACAGAAGCAGCAAGCCCTGGGCTGCCTGCTCCTCCGTCTGGAGGCACACAGCGTCCAAGCCAGCTGGGGAGCAGCTGGCTAGGGCACAGTGTGCCTCAGCACAGTGGCTGTGCAACCCACAGAGCTGCTTGCTCCCCCATCTCCACATGCTGCTCCCCAGCTGGCTGGGGCACAGCGCTACCTGCTGACTAGTCTCACACAGAGGCACTCTTGCCCCAGCCAGCACCCCCTGTAGCACATGGAGCAGTGGAACAATGTGTCCAGCTGCAAAGCATACCGGCACAGGCCTCCACTGCAGCATAAAGTAGTGGCACAAAAATGTGCTACTACTATCTGTACTGCTGCATATACATACTCCTGCCTATGTGGACGCAGTTAAGGGGTTCTTTGTGGCTACATAAGGAGCTTCTTAGATGCCTCAGAAATCAAATGGGGGGACCCCCAAAACACAAGCAAACATTAGTTCCACAGTAAAGCTTCATCCTGTATTAGGGCACAGTACATTAATTAACTCCACTGTAGGACAGTGCTGTCCAGGACAAGCATTATCCCACAGCAGAGTAATTACATGCACTGAAACGCATGCACAGACAGCCAGCAGGGTTCATTGGGGTGTGAGCATGCTACAGTGGTTAGTCCACTGTTCTGGCAGTGTTACACCTAGAGGCTTGATTATCCTAACTCCTTGTCTGTTTTCTGCCTAACAAGGCCTCCTGCAACAACCACAACTCCAAGTTCTTCCACTCTTTCCCTTCTGACAGTTAGGGAAAATGTCACCTATTCCTCTTCAGTATTGTCTAACTGGAAGTAATAACTTTACAAAACCATGAGCCAATTGATTAGGACACCAATGTTACTTGCAGCCACTGATTCCCATCACAGATTCTCATAGTATCATATTCATGCAATACTGTCCACAATAGGACCACAAATCAGATTTGGTGCATCTGTCTCTCAAATTCTGCAAATCCCTGGTTTCTCTGTCCTCAGCTTTTGTTACAGGTATACCAGTTATCTAATTTGGGCAAAGCTATTTTACCTCTCTCAGACAGGGCTCTTCCGAGCAGCTGTTTTATATTTGCAGTGTTCAGACTTGAAGACATAAGGTTTTACTTGTTATGCTAAATGGAAAAGGGAGAAGTTCTCTGCTAATGTTAATGTCCGCATGCATAGCAGAAGGAGGTGCAAATATCATGCACAGAACTAAAAGGGACCAAATGAGTGGCTAAGTCCAGTGCTCTGCTATTACAGCCTATCATATTTTATGAAAATCCTAACCAAGCACCATCGGCAGGTACCTGTAGGTAACGTTCACTTTTAATTGTGAACCATTGTACCGGAGATCAGATTTCTGACCAACCACATTCCAGTTTCCTTTTTGTTAGTCAGTTCCAATAGAGAAGTTTACTCTTCCAAACTGAAAGCTGGCAAAAACTGATTCTACGGCAGATCAGTCTGTTCAAGGGAACTTTCAAT